CCTACAGATTTGTTATTAAGAACATCCCTACAGCAGCACAGACAGGACAGAAAGATGCCACTGCTAGTGCTGCTACTCAAACACCAACATGGAGAACGTTAACTGCTTTTCTTTCAGTCAACTGACGGCAGATACAGAACTGTCCAATCAGTGACCCTTAAAGGTCACATAGTTCCTCCTTTCTTTCCCCATCACACCAGCATGGCTATCTCATCCCTCTCATTCTTTGTGCTGTCTCATTAAATTGCTGAAGTTCTGCAAAAGCTAAGCAGCAACATAACCATCTCAAAACAAAGCACTCCATTCAGTCAATGTCTTTCAAAATTAATTCATACCTGAGGAAGAAACTGGCACAAATTGTCCACCTGGATGTTTAAGGCTGTAATCTGCTCTTCTACTGTTTTCAGGGTTGTTGGCTTTCTGTTGATAAACCAGGATGATGTGTTGTTCACCACGTGAATCTCACGTGTGATGATGATATTGTCAGGTTTCTTAGACCTGATTAATAAAAAGAAGTGCGTACACTTTTGAGATTATGCAAAGGTTATCAAGTAACAAAGTATGTTAGAGTCATGGTATTAAAACTTTTAGATATCTAAATATTTAATATAAATTAACTGGACAGTAGCAGCAGATTCACATTTTAAGCTTCAGAAAACATCCAGTACTTCAGTGATGAATTAATCTCACAGGGAAAACATCAAGAATATCTACAAATCTTAACTCAGCTGAAGTTATTTTTATAAATTACACACTCATGCTGAATATATGAACCATTTAAAAGTTGTTAAGACATATGCATAGTTTATATAAAAGTGTATTTTTTATTATATTTAGTCAGTTTTAAAATTGGTATGCAGGAGGTGCACACTAACACTATACCTTTAAAGTATAAAATATTAGTGTACAGAACCACATCAATAAGCTATGTAGATACATTCCATTCCAAGAACAAAAATAGTATCGCACAGTATGAAAAATACTAATTTGTTTTCATTTTCTGCTTTTAAAGAACAGCAAAGATGAATCAGTTGTCTACCTATTTCTCTAGCTCAACTCTTTATCTTCAAAAATTTAGTCTGGTTACGATGCATCAATAACAAATAAGCATAAGATAGTCATCAACTCTTGAAATTTTGATTTGTAAATTGTCTGTGTCTTTTCAGTCAGCATCTTGTTAAAGACAGAGGACAAGGGCTCATAACAGTTTGGAGGCCATGTACCTTACAAGACTTAAGAAGAGAGGTCAAAGTAGAAGGAAATAATTAAATTGCTTCCAGTGTTTGGAATAAGTGTAATAGGAATACAAGCCTACTTCTTGAAAACTGTAAGATTACTTCATCACAAGTATCCACTACCTTATTTTAACATACTAGACCTCTTTCAAAAGACCTACCAAGCCATGCTCTTTCCTTTTATTTCACTAAGGGCTCTTGACTACTATAACTCATGACTTTAGTTATTAACCAAGGGCCAAATTAAACCAAGAGAATGTGTGCTAATAGAACTCAAATTTCAAAATTCCTGTCAAAAAGCAATCTTCTGCATCACTACTCTCCCACCCTAGATGTTGGATTTAAGTATTTTCTACCACTTAGACAAAGGACTGAAAGGAATTGCAACCACTACAGTAAAAATGGCAAGTCTTCACATACTGCAAGTCTCTCTTCAGACTTTCAAGTAATATTGGAATCTGTCTATGTTGAAACAGTCACACTGTCTACCTGAAAGACATCCTACCTCCTGACCCATTGCTTGGTCAGTCTCCAAAGAACGTCTTCCTTGTTGACTCCCACAAGAACGAAAGTTGACAGGATTTTATCAACAACCTCTTCCAGTATGTCTTTTTTCCTTAATACAATTATCTTTTTATACCATCTGATCAGGGTAGCCCATTGTTACACAAATTAATTCAGGCTTTGACTCAGCTGATTAGCTCTATGTTCCATTTAGTTGAGGCAAACGGATCAGGTTAAGGTTTATCAAGACCACCTGTGCTATTGCAGCTTCATGTTAGGATCACCACAAAAAAATTACTCACGTAGGAACACTATTACTACAGCCTCTTTTTAGTTGTCCAAAAACAAAACACCCAAAAAAACCTTCTAGGAAGCATGTAATACTGCCCTGTAACCACAAGTTACTGATGGAATTTTACAAAGTAAGTCTAAATGATTTTCAGTTGCTCTGTTTTGCAAAAGTTTTCCCGGAAGGCTGCATTAGCCAGAGTTTGTCAGATCTAGCTTGCTTTTTTCTTTTGTTTCAGCATGTGATGCTTTCATTAAGAATGTAGAGGAGCCCCTCGTACCAGCAGTATCAGTATAAGAAAATGAAGGCAGAACATTTGGTTTTAAAATTTAGAATGTGTCTTTTTTTTTTTCCCCTTTTTTTCCTTCTCTAAAAATAATTTCCAACCACTACATCACAATGGCAATACTAATGGTACTTGAATCATCTGAACTTTAAACATAATCAAAAGCTAAACACACCACGTACACCGATCTTCATCTATATATTCTTTGTACATCAGGACAAGGTAAAATGCTCCAGAAAGTGAAATCAAGACCAGCCATCACTGCTTATTTTTTGTGTGGTAATTATTTAACCTTAAAATTTTGAAGAATTTTAAAGACAGATTTCTGTATACCAGATTCTTTTCACAACTTGGTGAATGACTGTGTGGAGGAATAACCTAATTAAAAATGCATGACAAAATACGATTTTACTACTTACAGTTCAATTTCTACTACACCTTTCAAGCATCCCTGTTTTACAAAGAGACCAACCTATAAAAATAATGATAGCAGTTACTATTGCAAAATAACAGCGTATTAAAATGTAATCTCTTACAAAAATATCTATTTGTATAATAAAGTTGCTATAACGGGATATTTTATCAAAAACTTAAAATTAAAAAAGAAAATTTATTTTGGCTGTGTATTAACTAAAAATAAAAGAAGACAGTATTATCTTTCTCATCAACTAGCAGCATTAGAACTTCCTCCACAGGTTAACAGTTTCTGATCAATTTCAATCACCAAAACAATTATCATAAATGGATCCACAGAGAGGAAAATGTTCTCATGAATTTGGGGGACAAAGGCAATACAAATGAAAGACACTGACAAATATCTGTACTAATAGAACTGCCAATTCTAAATGTATAAAAATATATAAACATGAAAAGCCAGTAAAAATACCAACACAGTGTTGCCATGTAGTCAAATTCCATATATACATCTCCCCAAGACTGAGCTGCAGTCAGAGAACATGTACAGCCATTTAGGTAACCAGATTCAGTGCTCCAGAGATGTACTGAAATAAATTCCATCCAACCAAAACATGCACGAACGCAAGAGCAAAACTTAAAAATCTGACAATACAAACTTCCTACTCTAATGCCAACACATGATCTCTTGAGAGCAAAAAATGAAAATAATAGTAGAACAACCCAAGACAATACAACTTCCATTTAAATCAAAGATCAGTGGCTCCATTCTTTCAGATAAATTCTCAGACACATTAAGCATGTGTTATTTCTACAAGTTCTATATACTTGGAAACTTAAGCTTTTAAAATTTCTCCTTTAGTTGGCAATTCTGATCAAAGGTTATTTATGCATTAAGTGGCAACTTCCTACCCCACTGTGGAGGTTTAGATATCTTCACATAAAACCTCTAGTCTACTCAGGTTCTGGTACAATTCAGGTGTTTCCGTTTCATAATTCAGCCAAGAGAACAAGTAGTTAAGTAACACAAAACTCCTCTGATAAAAGCCTTTGTCTATGATATTCTACAACATGGACACTTTATTTTTTATAAAAATAATGCAAGTCAATGAAGAGTCTTTTTCTCCCCCCTCTGCTAGACAGGTGTCTTAATGGAAATCAGGTTAAACTTGAAAATTACAAAAGTTCATAGTTACCTTATCAGCTCGCCCTATGAAAGAAGGTTTTCCAGCCAGTCCCAGGCAGATAGCACAAACAATGCTTGACTTTCCTGTTCCGTTAGCGCCTACAATCATGTTCAGATTGGGTCCTGGATGTACTTCACAGACGTCATATGTTCTGTAAAGTACAAATTTTTTTTAATCTTATAAACACTATTTCACCTTAAAAAAAAAGTAACTTGATTAAAAGCACTTTATGATTATATTAAATATGACAGATAATTTTATCAAATCTAGACCACATCTTCAAATACAGTTTTGTAAGAAAATCTCAGAGTGAAAACTAACACTACAATAAAACACTGTGGAATACATTCCTACCAGCCAGAGTACTTAACAAGAACCTTCTTCAAAACAAATTATTAGGAATGAAATCCAACCACATAATGACAGTTTCTGTAGACTTTACAAGGACATTGTATTATCTTACATATTAAAAAAAAAAAAAGACAGAAAGAAAACTGAGTTAATTCAGTCAAGTCTGTTAAATTTAATTCCAGCTGCCTGCCTCACTGCAGTCATAGAAGGAGATTTCACTTGTCTAACATGTACAATGTACTTGGATTTCAAGCTCTGCAAGAAATCTATGGAACTCTGTATTGCTATACCATGCAGTAGCTTTCTTAAGTTACAAGAACCTAAAACATTAGCCTGTTATCAGTGTTTCAGTTTGGTTTTTTTTTTTAAATTGTATTAGACATCTTTCACCATATGGATCCAGGATGCCTACTGCAACAGCAATTACAGGACCAGACCAAGCCCCAGCGTGCAAATTCAAGACAAACCATTAATGTTAGTATGGCCAGGAATATCTCAAACTTGTAAGGAACTCCACCACTTAATGTTCTGTTCCTGCACTGTACCAAACACACAGAGAGAAACTGAGACACTAACAACAAAGGAGCGACAGAAAGCAGTTAATAACATAGTAACATAATCCATGCTCTCTGGAAGAGATGGTATTTGAACCCATAATGCTGAGGCTTGAACTACTGCGTTTGAAGCTTCATTTGACATCTACAGTGCAACTCATGAGCTACGCTACTCAGAACTGTTTTCAAGGCTGATATGGAATTATCAGCATACCAGCCATAAAAAACAGCCTGAAAACTTCTGCTAGAAACTATAATAGCCCCGAACAGAACGGCATTCCCAATACACAGAAGCTGGGGAAAGCACGCACAAAAAATAACACAACAGACACTTTATCCTAATGGTTCCCAAGGCCTGTCCCCACTACCCTGTCGGTATCTTCTGCACTCTCCTCCCCTTCACCGACTAACATTCACCTAACTGGAAGGGAGCACGCAGAGGCCGACACGGACAGCAGGAACCCGCACCTTAGGGAAGAAGGGGCGACACGATCCCGACTGGGGAACGCACCGCCTCGGAAGGCACACTGCACTAAGAACCTACGGGACTCGTAATCCACACCGCAGGTCCTCTCCCCTCCCAAGCAAGGCGTCACCTTCCCAGGAAAAACCCCTTCATGCACTCCCGCTTCCAGCGCCGGCTCGCCCCGGCACCCACGGCCTTTGTTCAGCGAGGGGGACTCCGCTCCACGCACACCGGCAGAGAACGGCCGCAGCGAGCGAGGCCCCCCTA